ACCCTTTATATTCTCTGGTTTTATGACCAAGGGTAAAAATACCATCTTCACTACTAAAGATAAAAATAATTTTATTTTTAGTTGAAAGTATTAAGTTTTTAGATCTCCAGTGAGATACAATTAAATTGGAAATGTTAACACATGGTTGATGTTCAATGCTTTATAAATTAGCATTATTTAAATCCACGAAGCTGTGAAAGCCATAAATCAGTTAAATTTGAGAAAATATGACCCAATTTGCTGAAAATTAGGCAACTGCATGAACATTCAAGACGACTTTTGCATTTAAACAAATATAAACCCATGGATCTCTTCTTCCTCTTTCTCTATTTTTTTTTGCTTTGCTTCTACTTCATTTTGCAAGCAGTTTTCATTCTATGGACACCAAAAAAGATCCAATCAACTATTTGAGCATAAACCTTTGCCTACTAGACTGTCATCAGCACAAAGTCCCCCAAATAATAAATGAACTTTTTATTAACTGTGGTAACATTAACATTACAATGAGGGATTGTTTAAAAACAAGTTGTACTGCTGTTGCTCAAGAGCTCAAAGAAAATGGTTCTCAGCTCCTTTATTTTTCCTTGAGGGTAACCACAGGGGTTGCATTAAATCTTTTAAAATATGTTGACAGTTGAATAAGTGCTGCTGTTGCTCTGGTGACATTTTATGCTTTTTAATTGTCATTAATGAAGCTGACTGATACTTTCTTAAAAGTCCTTTACGTGTTCTAGTAATTTTATGACAAAGAGAGGAACAAAACCGTCTGCAAATTAGCCTTGATCCACTTCTCATATGGAATTTTCACTGGAGACAATGGAAGAGTCTGCATGGGAAATATCTGCCAGACCAGATATTTGAGGTAGGAATGCATTAAATGTTCCCAATAGATTGTGAAATTATCACTTGGTTGTGCATCACCATAAAAATTAAAATCTCAAAGAAGTTTGTTCGAGTGTATTTTAAAAAATAAGTACTAAGTCTGCTTTTATTAATTCAGAATTTTATGTTAAAATGGTACAGCCTGACATTTTCGGGTTGCAATAATCCAAAAATAAATTTGAGATGGTATGAAACAAATTCAAACACTAACCTGGGGTCTAATAACTCCTTCCTGATTCTGATAATACTCCCACTGATTTGAGAAAGCTTTTTCCTCTGTAAAGACTTAACGATACAGCTCCCAATTATCTGCTCGGGAACGTGCAGTAAGAAAGAGGAATGCACATAGTTTGAGAAACTGCAGGCACCATACTTGATAGTTCATAAACAGATAAGGTAAGTCTTTTGCTATGGAGAGAAAATAAACTATGGTGCTTTAATTACGATCAGTGATTTAAGTAGATTAAGAAAGATCTATTCCAAGGACAAGGAGCCAGAAGAGCTGGGAGGAGGGAGAATAGTACACCAATGGTGTAGGGTGACATGCTGAGTCCTTTACTTCCCCCATCCCAGGTTCCCTCACACCTGCATCCTCCACGGCAACACAGCACATGATTTCCCAACACTGCTGCAGCTGTCGCACCACAGGCTTCACACCTTTGCAATTTCAGAATCAGAAAAAGCTGGAGCCATCCTTCTTCAACTGCAGTGGCTCTGCAAGTGCAGATGCTGTACAAATATTGATGGTTTGAACCATCACTGCTGAACAGGATAACTGGGTCACGTCAAATTATTCCAGGCAAACTGAGAGCCCCTTTGCCTGACTCTCTGCAGGCCCAGTGCTGTCTATAACCATGTATACCTGTGCACGGCAAGCAGTTCAGCTCCAGCCTGACCTTTTCTTTCAGCTGAGTAAATGCCTATACAAGGTGCAAAGCTATAGAAATCAGGCCTCAGGGTTCTGTACAGCGCTGCAATTTTCAAGGCACTCAGGGTGCAGACAGCAATAAGTTCCACACTCACGTCATACGCACAGTTAACAATCTCGGCTAAGTCATGAACTACATTTTAATTAGACATGGGGCCAGGCTTTTGATTTCAAAAATAGAAGTTAGGGTTGTAGTCCTTCATCCATTGAAGTTAATTGCAAAATCCCCATTATCAGGCTCTTGAGGTATTACCCAGGCGTACTTTTTAATTACATTTGATTCTTAATGAAGTCGATGGAAAGAGAAAAGCAGCCCATGATTCAAATGATTCACATTTTTATCTTTCCTGATGAAAAACAGAATAGGTCAAGATACTTGCTGGATTTTCCCATGAGAAATGCTGCAGCTCAATTGACTTGATCCTGAAGGAGCAGGTTAGCTTTGAAAAGCATCACTCATTTTCTCCTCCTGTATGCATTCTACCCCCAAAACTTATGTAATGTAACTGTAGACACCAAGCCAAATCCAATTCAAAACCTGAAAAATATCATGTAAGTATCCTAAGCTTGAATGACTTGTCTTTATTGTCTAATGTCATTTAAAACATAAGGAGACCTAATTATAGTTTTATTTTCAAACGATGCACTTTAAAAGAGTGACAATTCTCCATAAAAACTGACAGCTTCTCAGGGCAAGGAGACGGCCAATAACTTGATATTCCTACATGATTTAAAAACAATAAGCTATGAAGCAGCTTATGAAGAAAGTGTGTTATCACACTTTGCTAGAGATTAACACAAAGTTTCACCTTTTTCTCTTTTACCAGTATTCATGTAAATGAACAGATTTATAGAACATAAGTTCATATTACAGGTGAGGCCATTACCTTGTTATACATAACAACCTGCAAACTCTTCTGACATAATGAAAGCTGTTTCTTACCATCTGGAAATCAAGTTTAAAAATAAAACTACTGTTGACATATTATACAAAAAATTTTTATTTCAGACATAGTTCTCATATTATAAAACACATAATTAATTTCTTTTATGACTTCAAAAGACCCATTAAAAATTTTGGACTTCAAAACGTTTTGTTTGTTGGGGGTTTGTTGGTTGGTTGGTTGGTTTGGTTTTTTAAGGTTTGATTGTGGGGGTTTGTTTTAAAGGTTGACTGTTGAGTATCAGGGAAAGTAAAATACCAGTTTTGAGATAATCAGATAGTATTGCAAGGCTCTGGTGACACTTACTTTACCTTAACTTTCACCAAGGCTAGAGACTCATTTTCACTCATGCAAAGTAACACTTTAAAATCAAGGAAAGGACATAGGACAGTCAACTACTGTACATGATATTTCAGAAACAAGTCTAACCAAGGCAGCCAAGCAGGGTTACAGCAGGAACCAGTGAGGTGAGGCTCCGTCCCCAGGGCCAGCACAGAGAGGCAGGGCTCTTGGGGCCCAAAAGCTCACCAGACTGAGGGGTCACTGCAACATAAAGCTGTCATAGCACCTTTTAAAGGAAGGAGGGACAACCTCCTTCCAGAGAGGAACAGAGGAATTAAGATTTTCATTCAGTATTTTTTTTAAATCCCTAGATTTGGGGTCTTTTGCCCTGTGGGTGCTTCAGTGTTTCAGACTTGCAGGATACCTGCGATGAAAAACAAATCTCTTGAGTCCACGTTAAAACCATTTGCCCCTCATCACGATTCTTTCCCATTCACAAGGCTGAATAACACAAAACCTGAACACTTCCTACTTCATGGTCATACTAGAGATCAGGGGAAGCCTACATTACTTTTAAGGGCATCAAGCAGATGATGTGGAAATCCAAATCAGCCTGTTCTGCATAACTGTGGCAAACCTGCAGTGCAACGCACAACCACAGCCAAACCTGCTTCTCTGCTGAGTTGTCCAGAACAGTTATCACCCACACTATCTAACTAAGCAAGGAAAAGAAATTCACACCTCTACTTCTTCACTTGGCAGTTCCCTCTTGGAATCCATTCCTACTATTGCTTTTACTATAACCATGCCATTTTACACCTAGTAAGTATTGCACTCATCAGTTTAGGGCCCTATACTCTATAATATACAACACCTTGTATTGATCAGTCTCTGGGTGGTATTTGTGGAAGGTCTAACTTGGCAGGTCTCCTTCTGGGTGTCTCTCAGTCTCATGATTACATAGTTATGACCACTGTGTCAAGTAGCAGTCTGAGATACTTACTAGTCGTGATTATTTTTAAAGTGATTCTTAATGACTGTTCAGAGCACACAAAATATTCCCATGGCAGTTGCAGGGCATCCCAACACTAATGAACCACACAAGCCATCCTACTGCAGACAGCATCAGGTGCAGGGAGTAGCAAGCATTCATAGCTCAAAGATAATCACCAAAAAGGTAGAATGCTCAAGAAAGTCAACACCCCTATAGTTACTGACAGAAAATTTCAGGTCAAATTGAACAGACACTGTAAGGTGAAGAACACACACATTCTGAAGTGGTGGCTAAAATCAGCATTTAAAACAGGGATTAACACTAGAAGAATAAATTACTATTAAAAGTAATAGAATAAATTACTATTAAAAGTAATACTGGGGTAATTGTAGCAATAAGATACTGCTCAGAACTTCAGAAGTGAAAGCAACTTTCTTTTGAAAATAGTAATTTTGATTGCTTGTTTACAATATGCAGGCATCAGTGATTGCTACATGCTACATACATCCTACACACTGTACAAAGTGCACAACAAATGATGCTTTTTCAGAGGATTCTGCCTGGCTAACTATTTTGGTAAACCTTCAGGCAGCCTCATTTTCTGAGTATAAAGTGTCTCAGCTGGGTACTGAATGAAAGGAACTCAAATAATTCATAGCTTCCACTACATGCCATATGCTACCATCTTTCCCAAGCAAAATTAAGAATAAGAAATAGAACCTTTGGTTGTTAGGAAGTCATAATAAGTCAAAACAAAGAGAAAGTCTTATTAATTAAGCATGTATAGCTATAGGTAGCTTCAGGTAAAAAACATCAAATTTAGGCTGACAGGTACGTTAGCAACACAAACCAAAATAATAATTGTGGATGCAGATCAAAAAGCCAGTTTATATTCAGTTATTGAACTTAAGGGGAAGAAGAAAATGTTCAATCATAACATTTGCTTAAGAATGTTTATCTTCTTTCTTACCATTGAATGTTAGGAACACCCTTGCTTGAGGCTGGGAAGATCCTTTTACACTGCTAAAGTAAATAAATATCCCAATCAACACGTGCACTGCAAGAAAGGCCATCTCTTCAGTTTTGCAACTTAATATCCAAGAAACAAAACCTGAAAGACAGAGATATTACATTACTCTTCTTATACAATTTTGTGGAGCAAAAACAGCATGGAAGATCTGTGTTAGAAAGCTCTTCCAGCTGAAGCCATAAAAACTGATGTGAAGGAGGTACAGCACTTCTGTTTTCTCTGTATGTCTGAAAATAGTTTTCTTCAGCAGTCTTCTATGCTGGCACAAAAGGAACTCTCTGCCTGTTCATAAGAACCAACAGAGCCCAAGTTTCGGTTAGGGTAGACTACATCATCAGATTCAGTTTATTTAAAATTAGGACAATTCCACCTGCTGGAAATATAATTATACTAAATGTCAAGGTAGAGCAAAGCAAGGACAGGAGATAAAGTTTCATGAACAAAAAGCTGGCTGATATTTTTAGACATGTCTCCCTCATGTTCAGAGGGGGAGGTTTGGGAAATTGGTTGTTTGGTTGTTTTCTTTTAACATTTGAAATTAAAAGTTCTTGGAAATGAACATAAGGGTTTTAGTAAGCTGAGCTCTCTAATAGCCTTTAGTTCTTCTTTTAAGAAGTCCTGACTATGTTCATCATGACTTTCAAAACATTGAAACCGAAAGTATTTCAACATGCTTGAAACTGTTAGTCAACATTTGCTTTTTGGGCTAGTTCGTTTCGGGATACTTACATGCTCTCATAGACTTCTACAGAGCACTAAGAATCTCAGAGTTGGACAGTGCATTACAGTTGATACTTCTGCTACCCCTCCTGCACATCTGCTGATTCTACATTCATTTTATAGGGTTTAGCTGCTGAGAAGCCTGAGCTTCTCAGAGAATCAGAAAATGGTCCAAAACTCTGCATCTTTTCTTAGCTCAGGAAGGACTTGAGTTCACTGGAGTCATGGCACTTTCCTAGTAATTCTAATGGACTTTGGACCAGATCCATAAAACCCAGCAGACACCAGAAGCTGAATATTACATATCTATATCATATCTGCTCCTAAACTGCATCTCTCCAAAAATTGTGAAGTGCGAATTTCATTTCACCTATCCTAACAACTTTGTCAGCTCAGCTCCAAAGGTGAGAATAAAAAACATCCTCATTTTAGGCCCATTCTACTTCGCTGCTTATATATATATATATATATAGTCTTTTTGGTGTAAACAGCCCTCCTACTAGACACCACTTACTAGTTTATCAATCAGGTGATATATTTGATTCTATGGCAACTGGAAGCACTTTGAAAGATACAACCTCTACAGCTAGAAGGTAGCACTAAAAGCTATACATTTATTTCATTAAGAGATTTGTTGCCTGTGCAATCATCTTGCATTTTACCTCAGCTCTGCTCCAGCACTACAGTCCCTCCAGTGGAAGTCAGTATTTCTACATGCCTGTTCATTCGGCCCCTCTGAGGTTCACACCTGTCCTTAAAGAACTGGCTGTAAGCACCACGGCACGGCAGGAATGAGCTGTCAGGCAGGGATGACTTTAGGTCACCACTGGTTTGGGTCAGATCCACACCACCGACTTAGCAGTAAAAGCCCCGTATCTCATTACTACCTCTGTCATTCCCGATCCACTCACTGTAAATCGCTTTGAAAGGCTTCTCTCTGCATGAGGACTTCATATAAAGTTGTGGGTGGGATGGAGAGCATGCAAGCGACCGCACAGCTCTGCAGCCCACACTCTAGACTCCCCTTCATGATTTGCTCTGGAATACTGAGAAATGCACAGAGATCAAGTAATTTTACAACTCTGCTAATTGACAAAAAAACCCGTGTCATAAATTTGCCAGCTACAGATCAGGTCTGTAGGAGAAATATATCCATTCTGGTCCAGTTCCAAATTATCTCTAAAGGTCTGTTAACTAATAAAATGATAGTTGCAGAGTTTTTGCCAAGAATAATTTTTAAACAGGCTGCACGAACTCTAGTACTAATGCTGCTTTGTGGGCTTTAAATTTAAAACCTTGTGACTAGCCCATGGGATATCCTTTTACTTACCCCTCTTTTAAGAGAGAAGTGGCATTAAATCCCGATAAAATTTCTTTGCCAGGCCAAAACAAATAGCCAATCATACAGAACATATGATTTAACAGATGCAATGGGATTAGTATTTTACAGTAGTAGCGCTATGCTTTCTTTGCAATAAAGATAAAAAGTCAAAGAGGAACAAGTGTGCAGATTTCCCCCTTCCTTTAAATAATATTATAGGAAATAATAATAGAAAGAAACCCCTTTTAGCACTCCTTCCCTCCCACTCTCGTGCCTCCTGCCAATTCCAGTGCAATCAGTTACAGGAGTGAAACACTGCTACATTTCATTGCTCAAATTGCAGATCTTCACCGTTAACACAGAAGTGACAGGCACATATACGATTCAAATGCTGAGCAGCATGGTTCCTACCCAGCTGTTAGACACATAAATAATATATGCATACAGTGCCAAAAAGGCACCTCAGGGTGCCTGACATGTGAGTTACCTAATGGAAATAGGTTTAATTTCAGAGATTTACAGAGCTGGTAGCTGAATTGCAGGTTTGACTCTTGCTTTGGGCTTATATCCCAGTTCTGAATTTATCTCAGTAAGTCATGATGCTATATTCAGCATGTCCCGTGCACATGATCTCTGCTGACAACTCACAGACCTAAAACCTTGAAAGTACTTTTAAAGAATCTTACAGAACAGACAAAAAGCAGTGTCTAATTACATTTCTGCTCTTACACCCTATTCCAACTGTAAACAAACAGACAAACCGCTACTAAAGTGAAGTGGTGAAGTTTCCCTGCCACGGAGGTCGCTTGCACCATGTACTTTTGGAAAGTACAGTATCGCTTTGCTATGAAGTGCTGCGCAGGTGTCATGTGCCACAGGCTGGGTCCTACGCTTAAATCCTGTAAGAAAAATCATTCAGCAGAGGAAAGAAAAGAAATAAAGGAGAAAAAAAAAATCCCTGCCAAACACAGACTATGCCAATCTGGAAAACATTGCTTTTAACTATCTGTGAACAGCAGGAAAAATCAACCCTCGGAGACATTTCACATCTTATTACAGCAAAGAAAGAGAACTTTAAGTTATGCTTACCCGGCTATTAGAGGCACCAGTAATACCGATTTCTATCTGGTTTCTATCAGTTTATAGACTCCACTCCCGCTACCAGAACATTTTAATTCCAAACCTGGTTCATTGTGGAGGGAAAAATAAATAAATGAAAAAAAAAAACAGAAGAAGAAAAAAAAATAAAGGATAAAAAGAAAAGTCTGTCTTCGCGGCAGTTGCAGGGGTACTCCCGTCTCCTCCGTACAGTAATCCTGGCAGCTGGACTCCTAAGGCACCGGGCGCGCTTCTCCCCTGCCCGCAATTACGCACCTTAGGAGTGAATGGAGCTGCCGCGCGGTGACGGAGCCGGCGCTGGTTTCCAGTTACAGGCGCTGCCCTGCCCTGCCCGCCGCCGCTCTAGCGAGGCGAGGCTCGGCGGCCGCCGGTGCATCATTAGCTGAGCAAATAGGGGCTGGAGCTCATAAATAATGGCGAGGCCACACCCCGCCCTGCGCGCCGGCGGCTGCAGCCCGGCCCGGCCCGTCCGCCCGCGGCAGCGCCGCTGGCAGCGCGCAGGGCGGCGGGGGGCACGGGGCAGTCGGGGGCTGGGTAGGGGCGCAGCCCGCCGACGGCTCAGCGGGAGCAGCCTCCGGCCCCATCCGCGCCCTGTGAGCTGGAGCGGGCAGGGAAACTCGCCGGGAAAGTTTGTGCCCTGCCGGGCGGGTCGTGCCGGGGCTCCCAGCGCGCCCCGACGGCACCAAAGCCCGGGCGGCAGGAGCGGACTCCGGGTCGGGGCCGCCGGGCAGCGCTGGGAGAGGCGGCGGGGCAGGGGCAGAGCGGCCCCGGGCTGGGAGGGTTGCAGGGAGCGACGGGGAATGCCGGTAGGTGTCACTGTGAAGAGGGAATGAGGCTGGGCTGTGGGAAGCGGGGAGCCGGGTGGCAGCCAGACCCCTCGGAAGGGGTCTTCTCGCCCTCCCCCCGCAAGAATTATTTAATCGATTTAAAACTTGGAAAGAAAATGAGCAAAGAAGAGTAAGAGAGGAGAATTAGAGCGGTGCTTAGGTTGAAAGTTCGTTTTCAGAGTTGCTCCAGAAGTTTTAACCCAGCTTTCAGAAGCTTTTTTGCGATGTAGGAGACTGGGAGCTGTATTTGCTCAAACTCATTTTTTCCCCAAGGTATATTGAGCAATATTTCCCATTTGGTGAGATTTGTGCTCTCGTGGCAGTTGGACAGCATTGAAAACTTTACCCAAGATGTCTTGAAAATGTGAACTGCAGCACAGCTCCATTAAAGCCACAAGGATTTTCCAGACAACTCTTTTTGGGTTCTGGGTTAGGTTTTCCAAAGTTGTCTTTCAAGCATATTATGTGCTGCTCTGACCTGCTGGGTGCAAACTACTTCTGAATCAAGATTTCCACCTTCGCAGAGAGAGATGGTCTCTGATCCAGCTGAGGCAGTGCAGGGTAATGTCACAGCATTACTTCAAGGGAGCACATCTTGTGATACACTTGGAGCCATATCTGACAGCCAGAAATATGTTAACAAGTAAACAAGTACCCACAATGAATCAGAGCACAAGCTTGAGTTACAGTTTTGTTTCCAACTATTAACACACTCTGGCCATACTAACCAAAGCAGTCAATAATACTGATGCATTTATAGCCAGAGAGCATCTGAATGGAGCACCTTGACTAAACAAATTTTGTCTACACAAGTGGATATCTTTATGGCCTGATTCACCCCAGATTTCAGTACCAGCCTGGTAAAGTTAGTGCTTTATTCAAGCAAGAAAATGCAATGTTATGTGGTGCTTATTGTCACAGAGAACACAGAAGTATGGGATGCTCCTTCCTCTGAAATGGAAAGCCAGATTTGCAGCTGATTCCTGAAAAGAAACAAATCCAGAATTTTTAAAATCTTACCCACTTCAGATCATGTCTTGAGGATTAATTGACTGATGTCTTCAGATGAACTGAGCTCTCCAGATCATGAGTCCTTAAAAAAGTTGATAACTCTTCCAGTTCTCCTCCTTAACACTAGTAAACTACTCAGAAATGTGTGAACATTTGCTGTCCTAGAGAGCGGTTAAACTAAGCCATTAATTAGCTTGTTCTCTCCATGGGCAGGCGGCATGGCTGCGAACATGATGCTGCTCATCCCTGAAATGTGGTGGTGTTCAAATGCCTCGGTCTAACAGCAGTGCCTTGGCAAAAGGAAAAGTCACTTGTCTGCGTTGGAAAATCCCCACAACTAAGTGCAATTAGAGATCCCACACCAAGCAACAGAAGTGAATCAGCTAATTCAGTGTTCTCCCTCTTGCTGTGATCTATCCAGAGTGATTCAGAGAAAAATGCACAGAAAACCACAAAGCAAATACAAAATAACTTCTCTTTTAGGAGATTTGGGGGACATGTGAAATGGGTGGCAATACCAGTCAAAGAAAAAGAAGAATGTTACCATGAAATACCAACCAGGAATTAAGATGATTCTCTCCTCCCCAAATATTTTTACTTTAATTAAAAAAAAAAAGTCTACATTTTTCCTTAAAATTATTAATAATAATTTTCTACGTAAGATCACACATGCTCCTAATAATATAGCATTAGAAAAAAGACAGCAATAAGAATAAGCTCAAGTATGAATCAACATCAGCATTAGTTAAAGTCACTTCTGTTTGTCAGAGCTTTTGTATGTATGGGCACTGGGGAGCCAACTGGCTGTCTGCATTTCTTTTTCACATATGCTAGCTACATCACAGATAAAAAGGTAAAATGGAACACTGAGGAAAATTATGGGGCTTTCCGACACTCCCTCAAGGACTTTGGGTTTATAAAATAGCAAATGAACTACAAAGAGACAAATGCAAAACTTTAATATGTGAGATACCATCACACGCGTATATCTGATAGGCAAAGCAAGAGTATGCTAATTTTAAAAAACAAAAAGCAAATTGAAACAAGAATAAGCTTGCCATATTGATTTATTTGTATTTAACATATGCATATGTGCAGGTCAGAGCATGACAATTAACTTTAAAAAGCAGTTTGAACTTCACAGCTGGGCTAAGAGAAATGGTTAAAGTTTTACTTTAGGTGTTTTGTAATAGCATACATTGGCTTCAAGCAAAACTCATGGAATGGAAATTACTTCTCCCAATTATGAGGTGGGGTTTCAGCGTTTACTGGCATGAATCAGCCCTGTGAGTGAAATGAAAAGTATGCAGGACACTTGCTTTCCAGGCTTTCCAGGCTGCGTATTTTACAGCCTAGCATGGAGATGAGGTCAAATAAATTCGACTCTGCTTTGCAGCTGATTTGTAATCATTCCTCTGTTATACAAAGCATACAGTGTGTTGTACAATTTGCTTCTAGTTCTGATTTGTTGCATGTGAGATTTATAACTAAGGGCAGTTATTCCAGGTCACATCATATGTGTGAGGACAGAGTCAGGCCCTCACACTCAGCTTCAGAGTCGGAGCAGTTCTGATTCTTGCAATGTGATCTAAGCAAGCAAATCCCCCTGGCCAAAACAAACAGAACTGATTTTGTTGTATCAGTGCATGGTGTTTGCTTCTTACCCAAACAAGTCATCCTAATGGACCCAGGCCTAGCTTTAGACCTAAACACTAGCTGAAGCCAGGAACAAGAAAGACAAGAGTGTATTTGGGCGTTTACATTACATTTGGATTTGGGGTTAGCTGTTTTGTTTTGATTTGTTTTGTTTCTCCTCACATAAATTACAAGCTCCTGAAAAAGTGAACATATTAGAGGAGGCTGTAGGACCAGAAGGAACACAGGTTTGAAGGAAGGAAAACAGAGGCAGGAAAGTAAGAATGATGAAGATGGCAGAAGAGAAAGACACCTCCTGAGAAGCAGTTGGATGGTTAAGGGCAGCACAGTGGAAGAGAATCAAATAATTTAACTGGATTGGCAACAGCTAGCCATTATGAAGATCAACAGCCTAGATAATCAGATTCTGCTTTGAACACAAACACAGATCAAGACAAGACCAAATACCAGTTATTATAAAAAAATGTAGTAAAGGTATGATAAAGTGACCATCAAATGGAATTCATTCCTTTCTTAAAAATCAAAGGGAAGGTGTATACAGTAAGTGTCCAGATTCCAAGTGGTGACAGAAAATGCTATTAACTTCTATTTCCTCTGTCCTAATTTATGAGTGCCAAATCACTTTAAAGAAATGCAGGGTCATTGGGTAACCCAATTAATTAATCTTTGTTTATTTTCTTTCTAACAGTTACAAGAACTGGGAAAAGTGTGAAATATATCAACATTTTATTGTAGGAAAGCTATTAGGTGTTTGCTTTGAAGGTCTACTAATATGAATAGCAGTTCATATTCTTCTTCATAACAAATAGTTCAAAGATTCAAGAGATAATAGAGATAAAGCTACTGGTGACACCACTGTGTGATCAGAGATGGCCTAAGGTCCTTGGACATACTGTCCCCTAACTTGTCAATGGGCTTATTCAGGTGGGTCAGCATCGGTCTGCTCACAAAGAGTGAAGCTTCCACCAAGGTCAAAGCCTTATAAAACTACTGGCATGTAACTAACAATAAGCTGTCAAAACTGAATTAATCAGTTTACTTTTTACTGTTTAAGGTTCTGTGAAAGTCCATTTGCAGGAGACAATTTGTCTTTTCACAGCTTAAGAAAAATTAGGTGCTTAGGATTGGTGTAACCACATTGATGAAGTACTATGACCTGTATGGGAGCAAAGGAAAACATTATACTCTTAGCTTAGTAAAAGTCCAGTTGTCTCATCAAATAGGCCCAGCACTGAGTGGCTTCCCTGGAAGTCAGTGAGCCAACACTTCATAGTAACCTCTTTAATGACTGTGATTTTGGCAAGATTGTCATCAAATAAGTCCTTCTGTGTCTGTACACAAGATGTAAGTGTATTCCTGGTACGCTACCAGGCCTTCATGCTTCCCCTTTTAAGTAAGGCTGAAACATTATTGCTGTTTCTAGGAGAAATACAGTGTTTTGGTCAGATTTTCCACTTTTTAGCAATTGTGACTAAATGAGGTCAGTGATACAACCAGAGTCACTGTTCTTACACAAAGCTAGGCTTGAGTTTATAACAAATCATACAAGTCATCATTATTTTGCAAGTTGATGAGTAAGAATATGTACAATAAATATGTGAATGAAAAGGGATGGGTGGTTGATGCACCAAGGATGGCTTCAGGCCAAGCAAGCTACAAATAGAAGAAAGCACAAATACATGAAAGATGCAACAATGTGTAATCTGTGCATTGGAAGTATTGTCATATGGTGTAAGGAGTTCTACGAACACACAGGGAAGTAAAGCAGAAGCATTCAGGGAGAAGCTTTTTATCCAAATAGACAAATAGAGGTAGAAGGAGAGAGGAGGGGAGGCAAGAAGATTACTGCAGATTAGAGGGGGCAGTGACATAGCCCT